AGATTTCATTTGTCTCTTCCTGCATTTAGGATCCATGCCCTGTCCCCTCCTCCCACCTCTGAGGTCCTCTGGATGCACCCTAGGTTCAGGGGAATTGTACATTGTTCTATGGGGCTGAAGGTATTATGGGCCTCTGTGGTTAGCTCTTCCCTCTCCCCTTTTATTCCTGGCTAATACTTTTAAGACTTGGATTTTGCCTCTTCTGAGAAGTCCTCCTGATTCTTCCCTTCTGGGGTCCTTGCTCTCACCACATCCTGTGCGCAGCTGGGTCATAGCAGCTGGCACTGGACTAGACTGCCACTTTCCCTGCCTGGCTTCTCGCCAGGCTCTGAGCTCTGTAAACACTGCAGCCATATCTTATCTCTGTATCCCTAGGACTTAGCAGAGTGCTAGGTCCACAGAAAGTGCACAGTAAACATTTGTTGAAGGAGATAAGGGGGCAAAGCATCCTGGCTTTTTCCTGTAACCTTATTCACCATCATGACCCATGATGGATCTTTCCAGATCACACTTTCCTGTCTTCAAAATGACTTTCTCAGAAGCTACCTGTTTTCTCAGATTTTCAAGAATGTATGACTGAAAGGATAATTATCACATATCAAACTTAACTCTTTAACTCTTCCAGTTGAATAAATAATAATGGCCAGTTATTGTCCCCTTTTTGAAGCATGTGTTTTTAAACCAGGATGTAGGTAGATAATGATGACTGCCTCTTTCTTTTAAGAGACAGGGTCTCACTCTGTCACCCTGGCTGGAGTGTAGTGGCTATTCACAGGCACGATCTTAGCTCACTGCAGCCTTGAACTCTGGGCTCAGGTGATCCTCCAGCCTCAGCCTCCTGAGTAGCTAGGACTATAGGCATGCACCACCATGCCTGGCCAATATTTTAAATTTTTTGTAGAGACAGGGCCTTTCTATGTTGCCCAGGCTGGTCCTTTTTTTTTTTTTTTTTTTAAATGAGACAGTCTCACTGTTGCCCAGGCTAGAGTGCCATGGCATCAGCCTAGCTCACAGCAACCTCAAATTCCTGGGCTCAAGCAGTCCTTCTGCCTCAGCCTCCCCGAGTAGCTGGGACTACAGGCATGTGCCATCATGCCCAGCTAATTTTTCTCTATATATTTTTAGTTGTCTAACTAATTTCTTTCTATTTTTACTAATTTCTTTCTATTTTTAGAAGAGAAGCGGACTTGTTTTTGCTGGTCTCGAACTCCTAAGCTTAATCGATCCTCCTGCCTCGACCTCCCAGAGTACTAGGATTATAGGTGTAGATTATAGGCATGAGCCACCAAGCCCGGCCCCAGGCTGGTCTTGAACTTCTGGCCTCAAGCGATCCTCTCCCATTGGCCTCCCAAAGCACTAGGATTACAGGCATGAGCCACCATACCCAGCCTGATGACTGCTTTTATCAAGTAAGGCTGACCTCTACTTAGTTTAGACAGATGCTGTTACTCCTTTAATATCCAGAACAACACAATTCAAAGGCAGAACCTAAGGGATTACAGTGATTGCTTTCAGAAATCTTTGAATAAGTTTATGGAATAAAACTTATTAATTCTTTTCTATTAATAACCAAACTCTCATGGTATTGAGGGTATATATATATATGTGTGTTTGTGTACGGATACTCAGATTTGAAAAGAAGAAAGATGTTCTTGGTTCCCTCCTTCACCCCAAGAGAAGAAAACCACAGAATAGGAAAAGTAGAAAACACCTTCCTGTGTGATCCAAGAATTGAGTCACAATAGGGTGTGGCATTGTGGTTAAAGCTTTCAGAGAATTGATGTTCCAGAATTTAATTGGCTTAGCCTTTATATTTTTTCATAGGAAATGTAGAATATTTAAGCACACTGTGAGATTCTTTAGGAACTTTTTTTTTTCCTCCTCTACTCTGAAGGAATAGAAGCCATTTCAATGAGAAATCAATGGGCCTGTGTTTGTGTTTCTCCTTCTCACCAAAAAACTGTCTTTCAAAATGACTTAGTCATATTACAGATTTTGGGAAGTCTTAGGTTACACCATCAGTTTCCAGGAAAAGAAAAAAGGGGGGGCAGGAAGAAAAAAACCACAAAGATGTCTCATCCAATTGATCTAATCTGTAATCCTCAGCATGTGTCAGATCTTTCCTTGTTATCCCATTTAAACAACTGTGTGAGGTAAGACAGGTTTAGAAACTGAACTTGGTTAGAGGTCTTGACTCTGGTAAGTTGGGGGCAGATGGCAAGGATTCTTTTCCTTGCATTTAGCGTGGCACTTGGCTAACTGAGGCCATCTGCCATGTATTCTGTGCTTTTAGCCCATAGAAATATGGAATGCAGTCCATCTGGTTTGAAGTTTCTTGGCCCAACTCACCAGGATGCTAGCCCAGGGTCTGGGGCAGGGAGCTACATCAGGACTGTATGGGAGAGTTATAGTCACCAGCCTGATGTGCCTTCCTGTAAATCCTTTCTGGAACAAGGGAGAATGTAAAGAATTTTTAAAGATCACATGCTATAAAGACCAGTACTCTATCCCCAGAGATTGTTGCTATTTCTTCCTCTGGTTACATACCAGAAAGATTGAAGTTTTGTCAGATCTGTTGTTTTCAGAGAAGCTTGACAGTCTTGTTCTGAATGAGAGTTATGATTTTGTGACTTAATGAGGCCAGAGGAACCCTGTTCTTACCTCTACTCCTGCCTGTGCTGGGACCAGGTTGTTAGGGTGCCAACAGAGGACAGTCTGAGAAAGCTTGAGGTGGCTCAACCTGATCTAGAGATACTTAGAGGGTTGACATGAGTTAGAGGGTTGACATGAGTTTGGTTCAGAGAGGCTTAGTAATGTGCACCCATCTTCAGAAGATAATACTATCTGTTCTCCTTATGCAAGAAGGGTAGATGTAGCTGGGGAGTCAATTAGGCAATACATAATGGGTGTTGCAGGTCATCTCAGTTACTAGCTATCTTGAGCTAAATTTTTCAAGTGTGCTTTGTTTTACTCAAGGATCACATTCATGCAAAAGCATCTATTAACACCATGTTTGTATCATTTGATCTTCAGGTTAACTCTGGTGTATGTTAGATGGACATGTCTGAGGTGACTCTCTTGGATCCCCATGGTTACTTTCCATCTTTGAGCCCCCAGTGCCACTATCCCTGTCCCCTCTTCCTCCATCATGGTCTTCACTGCCTCTGAGAACACCTGCCTGTTGCAGAGGCAACAGGAGAGCAGAGTGAAGAGGAAGATGTTGAAAGGGCTGGTTAGAATTGTCTTCTCTGGGACAATAAAGTGAACTAGAAAACATAGGTATACTTGTGGGATATACTTTCTTTTCCTAGTATACCAAATTTATTTGGGGAACTGGGTCTAAGGAGCCAAATAGCTGATTTTTAGATATCTCAAGGCACACGGTTCTTGGTGTTGTACAACCTCTGAGAGTTAAATGTACTAAATAAGATTCAGATCTCTCCATTTTATTGGTGATAACCAAATGAGTTTACCTAAATAACAGTCTCTTCAAAGGTTATTATCCAAATCACATTTTAGAGATAAGAAAGAAATTTTGCTTACTTCAAATGGCCTGAATTAACCCTGGCATTTTTTCCTCTAGTTTAGACTTTAGGTAACATAGCAACTTTGTTTTTTAAAATGCTGGTATTCTAGATACAACTTTGAGGTTCTAAGAATTAATGTTTCCCCGAAAGTAAGACAGGGTCTTATATTTATTTTTCCTCAAGAAGACACCCTAGGGATTATTTTCAGGGTATGTGTTATTTTTATTTAAGTATGGTACAACAATCTACATTTATTCAAATATAGTTAAGTCGTCGTTTTCTGGAACATCATCATAACTCTCCAAACCCCGAATTCCATCCTGAATTTCTTGTGACTCTATTTCCTTTAGAACCATTGGCCCTAATCTCTCATGTCAAGCAATAGAGCTCTCATGGGGCAGATGAGAAGGGCTGCTCATGTCTTCTTTACCGCTTTGCAACAAAATGCATGGGTTGTGCAAATACGCTGCATAGCCATGCCCATCACTAGGTCTTATTTTCTGGGTAGGGCTTATATTGTGCAAATGCTTAGAAATCTTGCTAGGGCTTATTTTATGGGTAGGTCTTATTTTCGGGGAAACATGGTAGCAGGTCCATCCCTTCAGGAGACCAGGAATCCCCTTTGCATGAGTGAGTCTGTGATGTTAGAAGTTATTAGTACCCTCTCAGCACCAAGTGAGATTATAGGCTTTGTTTTTCTTCAGGTTTCACTGATGTGTTATTCCTGACGAGTCTTACACATTTCCAACTGTTAGGGACAGTTGGGGAAAACTGCAAGCTAAGAGGCCCCTAGCTTTTCCATCTAGTATTCTGCCTTCTGCCAATAGGCTACCTATGTCTCAGTAGACTCTCTTGTGTGTCAGCCCACTTCAGTATTTTTGTTTATTTTTTAACTAACCACTAATGAGGAGTCAGCCCACTTTGAAACCCATTTCTCTTGACTTGCTGGGAGCCTGGGTAGCTGGAGCCATCAGTAAGTGGAAGTCAGAGCAGGAAGGAGAATGATGTTCCCTTATGCTTTTGAAAAAAACACTTGCTCATCCATCACATTGTCTTATGTGAGTCTCTAACCAAAGGGTGATTCAGGTGCTCTAAACAGTTGGAGCTATTTAGCCTTGCTGAATTTCTTCCTCTGCCATTTGTGGATAATGTACCAGCAGAGGATGTGAGGACTAGCACGTATTTGTAGAGTGTCTAGCAGAATGTGGTATGTGGGGGCAGATAATTCTTCTGTTCCATTGCCTCTTTTCCTATCACTGGCTTCTTCCAGACATTCGCTCAGTAGCCCTGAAATATTAATAGAAGTGCTGTTTGCAGATATTGCTAAGGTCAGGTAGAGCTGTTTTGATTTCTTCCCCACCACCTGGTTGCATCATTCTGTTGGTGCCCTTGTGTTCTTGTTCCACTCTGATGGAGCCTGGAGAGGTTTATCAAGGCCAAAGGTAACATCTGGGTCTGAAAGATCAAGATCAGTAGTATTCAGTGTATTTTATTACCAGCACTTGGGGAGAGAAGCAATAAGGCTGTGCCAGTGTATAAAGAGCAAGTGAAAAGTGAGAGCCTTTCAAATTGGTTCCAAATCTGCTTGACATGAGAGCTGCTTTGAAGTTTCAGGTCAGGCTCATCTTGTCCTACAATGCCTCTGAAAAGAGAAGAAACAGCAGCAATGAAACAGTAGGTCTCATGTGACCTAGACTTGCAGATGAGTTGACCTGAAGAATAGAGTTAGAGAAATGGACAGTTTCTTAAGCATGAGAGGCACATATTGCTTCCATGTTATATTGCTGTCTTCATTATTACTCTAAGGGTCTTTAAAAATTTGTGAAACCATTTCTTATACCCTTTGAACTAGAAGAATCTGCCATAGCACTCTGATATAAGTTTTAATGTTCAGTTTATTCTGCTCTTAACCTCCCATCAGCCTACCCATTTCTTTCAAAAACAGTAGCCAAAGGATTACAATTCATCTTCTTACAACCAGATTATTGCATTGCTCCCATATTCAAAGTTCTCATTACTATTAAATTGGTCAACTCTTTTCAGATATGACATGTGTATGTCTTCTTTTGGGCCCTTGTTAACCTTTGAGAAACCAATCCTGGGTTCTGTACTGTACTGGTCCTTTGGTGCCTTGATGCTATTGGTACAGTGGACATTAGAGGAGAAAGCTCTTAGGCTACATCAGGATGGCATAATATATTTGCTGACTCAGCTCTGTAATGAACTAAAATAGTTAAAAATAACATAAATTGGTAATCCCAGAGCAACATAAGCATTAGTATTTTCTTTTTTTCGCTACTTTTCTTTTTCTTGTTTAAAATTTTATTGTTACTCGTGAAGTGGAGCAGTGGGAGTGGAATCTGTAACTGTCTGTGATCAATTAGTTGTAAATGCCACTGTACTTGGACCAGCCCATAAGCTTTAGTACTTTGAGTTCCTATAACTTAAAGGTTATAGCGGTAGAATAAAAGAGTACTCATTGTGGCAGAGATTGCTAGCTATCCACCCAAATCCATTCTCTTCTTCTTCTGGACATGATCTAGACCTGCATTTGCTGGCCAGTGCCACCTGAGCAGGAGTGATGTGCCACTTCCAGGACAGGGCCCTTAACACATTGACTGCCACACTAGAAAAAAATTTTCCTTGGGACCACAGTGTTTTATTACAAAAATAGAGTAAAAACTTTCAAAATAAAACTAATTTAATGAAAAACTTGTTATTTTTTATTTTCTGTTTTCATTTATTTATATTATTATTTATTTTTTTATGAAGGGGTGGGAAGTTGTGAGGAGGGGTGTTCAGTTGCCTTGTTTGTTTTTGTTGAGAAAGAGTCTTACTCTGTTGCCCTGGGTAGAGTGCAGTGGCTTCACTGTAGCTTGCTGCAATCTATAACTCCTGGGCTCAAGTATCTGTCTGCTTTAGCCTCCCAGGTAGCTGGGACAATAGGTGCAGGTTGCAATGCCCAGCTGGTTTTTCTTAACTTCTTTTTGCTAGAGACAGAGACTCACTCTTGCTCAGGCTGGCCTCGAACTCCTGAGCTCAGGCGATCCTCCAGCCTCGGCCTCCCAGAATGCTAGGATTACAGGTGTGGGCCACCGCGCCTGGCCTTTTACTGTTTTCTGTGTGTGAGTTATATGCAACTTGACAAATAGTTCTCGCAGAATAGTTCTCTTCTCGCAGAACCCGTGAAGAGATGTGTGAGTTACATATGCTTCATGAGGCCCCAGGCTCAAAACTAGGGTGAGTTAAATACAACTCACATGGCAGTTAATGTGTTAAAAGAGGAGGTGTGCCTTCTCAATGCTTTCTCCCACTGCCTTGAACCTGGGGAGCCTAGCCTTAGCCATACAGATGACGAAGTCCTAGGTATGGCAGAACTACAAGCCAGGTCCCTGAATCACTACATGGAGGAAAGCCTCCTGCTGACTTGGAATACCCCCCCTGGATGTTAAAGGGACAAGAAATAAACTGTTTGAGCCATTATTTGGGAGGGGGGATTGCTAGAGTAGTTAACTTTAATAACCCTACTTAAAAGAATATTATGAGCCGGGCGCGGTGGCTCACGCCTGTAATCCTAGCACTCAGGGAGGCTGAGGCTGGCGGATTGCTCAAGGTCAGGAGTTCGAAACCAGCCTGAGCGAGACCCTGTTTCTACCAAAAATAGAAATTAATTGACCAACTAAAAATATATATATACAAAAAAAAAAAAAATTAGCCGGGCATGGTGGTGCATGCCTGTAGTCCCAGCTACTCGGGAGGCTGAGACAGAAGGATTGCTTGAGCCCAGGAGTTTGAGGTTGCTGTGAGCTAGGCTGACGCCACGGCACTCACTCTAGCCTGGGCAACAAAGTGAGACTCTGTCTCAAAAAAAAAAAAAAAAAAAAAGAATATTATGTATTGTATTTATGCATAAAGGTCTACAAGGATACTGTAGTCAAGCCTGGGGAGTGGGATGGTGACTTCCACCATTATACACTTCCTCATTCAATTTTACAAAGAATTTCTATTTGCCAGTAAATGAAGAAGGCAGAAAAAAGTAGCAAAACAGTGCTGGTATAAACTTTACTTGTAGAGTTCCTCCTGGGTCCTCAGTGAACTTCCTCTGGTCCTATTAGCACAGCAGTCCCCAACCTTTTTGGCACCAGAGACTGTTTCAGGGAAGACAGTTTTTCCACAGACTGGAGATGGGGGGTGTGTCATGGGTCAGGGAGGTTGTGGCGCTCAGGAGGTGATGTGAGGCCTGTTTCCTAACAGGCCATGGACTGCTACTGGTTAGAGGCTGGGAAGTTGGGGATCGCATCGTTAGCATTCATTGTCCCTAGTCCTTACCTGGCACTTAAAATTGTACAAATTAAAGAGCAGAATTGGGAGCAGGAGGGTAGTCTACTCAGGACCTCTCAAGATATTAAACCCTTCAGGGGGTCTGCCCTCAGCATCCAGGTCTGCCCTGGATCCCCTTTGTGGATCCAGAAACACAAGGCTTGCTGTGTGTGGGACTCATCAGGCTTCCAGACCCAGAGAGACTCATGTTAACTACACTGAATTAACCAAAATGCCCATGCACGATTATGTTGAGCAATAGTCTTTCCAGCATCCACTGGTCTGGAAGCCCTTGCTGGTATGAAGGAATCTGGAAAACCAAGTGAATAACCGGAAGACTGTTTGATAAGAAGAAATCAGAGTAAATGGAGTTGACCTGGTGTCAGCGCATGTGTGCATGCTCCACACACTGGGCCAGGCTAAAAAAGAAAAAGTAAATGGAGTTGGATGATTTAGGAGAATCCACTCTGCAGATTGTGAATTCATCTGGTGAACCACCCCAGAGCAGAGTTACTCATCTAATGACTAAAATCCCTTTATGAAATTCAGTTTGTCTTCCTGGAGAGCGTTGCTATAAGACTGCCAAATCCAATCCTCTGTGGGCTTTTTAGGCTTTGTGCAGCTTTTTCCTGATAATACAAGTGAGCAGAGTACTGTTTTCTGTCACACATATCTGAATTTACATCCTGTCCATGATTGGACTTGAGTGTTCCCCAAGTTCTGTGACTTATTTTGTCTACTGGATTGAGCATCTTAAGTCCCCTGTATTTCTTAGTGGTCATGTGAGTTTTAATTAATTAAAGTGCCTGGCAAATATTTCTAAAAAATTAGTTAATATTAACATTATTTTAGATTATAAATTTAAAATCATAGGCCAATATTATAAAACACCAGGCATATCCTGATGTCTTACATCTAGTAAGAACCTAATGATGTGGTTTGAGGAGGATACAGAGATAAACATGGATGTTGAAATAGAGACACCCAAGAATAGACACACCGTTCAAGATCTGTCCACTGGATGATTGTGTTGGCAACAGAGATAAGATATCTATTTGAAGGTTAATTAAGACTTTATTGCTAAGTCTAAAGTTTAAAGTGTCCTTCCCATATTTTGAGATTTGGTGAAGTCCATAATGACTTTACTCATGGCTTTTTGTCTTTATAAAAAAATTTTTATAGTTGTTTTATTTGGTCATTTTTCTCTTGGTTCACAATGTCTTTGGCCTGCTGTCATATTTTTCTCATCCCCCCCTTTTTATTTAGTTTGGATCTTCTCTGGCTTGGGGCCTTTTATGTGATTATTTCTTAAAATGCAGTGACTGAAAGATACAGAATTCTTGCTGCAGGTGTCTCTTACCTTTCATTAACAATAGGATAAGGTTTTCTGCAATCCCTTGGTTTGCCTTATGTTCCAGGCCATTGTTGGCCTTACGGGTTTATGTTATGGTCATTGCTTGTCAGATTTTTACATTCCCTCAAAAGTTTGGCTTTGGATTGAGTTTGGGTTCAAGAGGTAAAGCTCAAAACTATATAGTTTAAATTCATGATGAGTCTGTGCTGGTCTCAATCCAAATCTTTAACACCAATTTCTGCAAATAATAAGATATACCATTTCTATTTCTGTCCTCTTGACTATCTCCCCCACCCTCAATACCTAGAATCCAGTTTGAGAATCAGGGCTACAAGAATACAATCTATGATAACATTTGCACTCTGATAGTTCAGATCCCTTTTTGATAGAGTTGGATTATTTAGTCCTCACCCTAAATGTAGCATCCAACATGAGTGGACAAATATTTGAAGCTGTCAGAATATATTGCTAGTTCTTAAAATGTTAGAATCAGTAGGGATTCTTCTGGGAAACAAACTGCATAGTAAAGAATACAGCTTAAGCACCCCAATCTGGAAATCCAAAATGCTCTTTTTGAGTACCAACATGACATCACAAGTTATTTGAACACATTATTTTTTCTCTGTATTAATGGTACGTCATATTTTTTCCTGTTAAGTACTATGGTATGAATAAGTATAAGAAAATGATTGCTTCTCAGTAGCATATAAATTCAGAGCCAGGAATGATGATGATGCCAAACAACCATAGATTGTCCACAAGGGTGGCTGAGATAGTGACACCTTTGCTTCACTTCTTTTTTCTTTTCTTTGAGTCAGAGTCCCACTCTGTTTCCCAGACTAGAGTGCCGTGGGATCAACCTAGCTCACAGCAACCTCAAACTCCTGGGCTCAAGTGATCCTACTGCCTCAGCCTCCCGAGTAGCTGGGACTACAGGCATGTGCCACCATGCCTGGCTAATTTTTTTTTGTATATGTATTTTTAGTTGGTCAATTAATTTCTTTCTATTTTTAGTAGAGACGGGGTCTCACGCTTGCTCAGGCTGGTTTCGAACTCCTGACCTTGAGCGATCCGCCCACCTCAGCCTCCCAGAGTGCTAGGATTATAGGCGTGAGCCACCACACCTAGCCCCACTTCTTTTCTTTTCTTTTGGAGACAGGGTCTTGCTCTGTCACCTAGGCTGGAGTGTGGTAGCATCATTATAGCTCACTGGAACCTCTTAACTCCTGGGCTTAAGTGATCCACCTGCCTTGGCCTTGAGTAGTTGGGATTTCTGGTGCACACCACCATACCCAGCTAACTTTTTGAAATTTTTTGTAGAGATGGGGCCTCACTATGTTGCAAGTCTAGTCTTGAAAACTCCTGAACTTCCACTCCCAAAGTGGTGGGTTTATAGGCATGAGCTATCACACCTGGCTCTGACACCTTTGCTTTCTGATGGTTCAGTATATGCAAACTTTGATGCACAAAATTATTTTTAAAATTGTGTAAAATTAGGCTGCGTGTAGTTGCTCATGCCTGTAAATCCTAGCACTCTGGGAGGCTGAGGCAGGAGGATCACTTGAGGTCAGGAGTTCAAGACCAGCCTAAGCAAGAGCGAGACCTTGTTTCTACTAAAAATAGAAAACTAGCTGGACAACTAAAAATGTATAGAAAAAATTAGCCAGGCATGGTGGCACATGCCTGTAGTCTCAGCTACTCGGGAGGCTGAGGTAGGAGGATCTCTTGAGCCCAGGAGTTTGGGGTTGCTGTGAGCTAGGCTGATGCCATGGCACTCTAGCCCAGGCAACAGAGTAAGACTCTATCTCAAAAAAAAAAAAAAAAAAATCGTGTAAAATTACCTTTAGGGTATGGGTATAAGGTGTATATGAAACAAGTAAATTTTGTGTTTAAACTTGGGTTCTAGCCCTAAGATATTTCATTATATTCAAATATTCTAAAATCCAAAAAAATCCCAAATACTTCTGGTCCCAAGCATTTCAGATAAGGGGTAGTCAACCTGTATAAACATTGGAGCCACATGGCCTAGATTTATATCCTGATTCTGGCACTGAGCAACCATGTTACCTTGGCTAGGTTACTTCTGTTTGCTTCAGTTTCCTCATCTACAGGATAGGCCTATTTTAGTTGCCTCACAGAATTGTTCTGAGTCTTAAAATAAGGATTTATGTTAAGCAGTTAGAACAGTGCCTGGGACCTTGTAAATAATCAGTATTTCTCTTTTAGGATGCTTCAGATTGACTCTGTATTTACTAAAAAGTTTATAACATGAGAATTTCTATGTGTATTTTTGTCCTAAATCAATAATACTTTTCTTTAAATTCTATTCATTCACCTTGGTATTTTATTTCCAATCTATAACTCCAGGATATCTCAGGTCTAATTGCTACTAATTTTGTGATTGTTAGGTTAAGGCATTCAACATCTCTGGGTTTCAGTTTCCAAAGCCCAGCTGCTTTTGCTAAATGGTGTTCATAATAGGATCAACCATACAGGATTGATGAGAAGACTGAGATAATCCTGCCACAATCATGTGAACTTTGGAATTTTACTGTGATAAAATGTTTATGATGTATACATTATCACAAGTTGTTATTTGTGACCCAGGCAAGTAAGAGTTGGAATAGCACATAAAATTCATCATGTCATCCTTCATTTGTTCCCAGGCTGCCACCTAAAAGACTTTGGAGATTTGAGTTTTACTCCAGTGCCCAAAGATGATCTCTACAACAACCTGATAGTGAATCCACGCTCAGTGGGCCTTGCCAACCAGGAACTGGCTGAGGTAGTTAGTAGAGCAGTGTCAGGTGGCTACAACTGTGTCACAGTGGGAGGAGACCACAGGTAAGCTGGGAGATGGGGTGGTGAGGGGCTGGATTATATGGTGCTTTGGGCTAATCACTGAGCTTCTTTCTCAGTTTCCTTACCTGGAGAAAAATACCCTACAGAATTTTTAAGGTATGATATATATAATGGTATTTTATTTATTTTTTTATTTCAGCATATTATGGGGGTACAGATTTTAAGGTTTCAATAAATGCCTTTTCCCCACCTCCCCCCCCAAGTCTGAGTCTCCAGCATGACAGTCCCCCAGATGGTGCACATCTACCTCATTATGTATGTATATACCCTCCCCCTCCCCCATAATGGTATTTTAATGTCTAAGATCATGAGCTGCCAAAGGTACCATGTAATTTATTTATTTTTGTGCCACACATTGTATAGTAAGAGGGTGTGTACATTCAGACACAGCAAGTTCAAAGTTAGACTAAGCAAGAATTTTAGGCACTGTGTTTCATGCTTATCTCCTGGGAAGTTTTCTTAAGACACTATCTTATGACTTTGAAGAATTGGAAAGAGCCATTGATAGGCTGAATTTGGTCATTTTTGTTAGCATTTCTCCAGTAGATTTGTTAGAGATCCTCCCTTTTTGTGTGAATACCGGTACATTTTTTACCTCCACAATATGAACCCTAGGTGGCATACTAATGCAATCAGTCTTTTGTTTTTTGGGGGGGGAAATAGGGTCTTGCTCTGTCCACCCAGGCTGCTGGAGTGCAGTGGTATGATCATAACTCACTATAGCTTTGAACTCCTGGGCTCAAGTGATCCTCCCCACTTCAGCCTCCTAGTAGCTGGGACTACAGGTGTGCACCACCACACCTGGCTAAATTTTAAAAATTTTTTGTAGAGACAGGGTCATGCTATATTGCCCAGGCTGGTCTCAAACTCCTGACCTCAAGCAGTCCTCTCACCTTGGCCTCCCAAAGTGTTGGGATTACAGTCGTGAGCCACCACACAAGGCCTGACTGATCCTTTGCCTCTTAGTGAATCAGCATGTACTTTGTTGAGTACTGTTCTGATGTTTGTTTAGCAATGCTAGGGATTGTAGGAAATAAATAAATACACATGGAATAAAAAAATTTTAAAAAATATTGAATCTGTTTGGGTACAGTGGCTCACAGTTATAATCCTAGCATTCTGGGAGGCTGAGGCAAGAGAATCACTTGAGGTCAAGAGTTTGAGACCAGCCTGAGCAAGAGTGAGACCCCCATCTCCACCATATATAGAAAAAAATTTAGCCAGTTGTGTTGGCACATGCCTGCAGTCCCAGCTACTCAGGAGGCTGAGGCAGGATGATTGCTTGAGCCCAGGATTTGGAGGTTGCAGTGAGCTATGGTCACACCATTGCACTCTACCTGGGATGACAGTGAGACTCTGTCTCAAAAAAAAAAAAAAAAAAAAATTCTACAGAATTTCAAAGGAGGAAGAGATTATGAGTCTGGGCTAGAGTAGGTCAGCTTTCACAGGGGAGTGTGATTTGAGCCAAGTAATAAAGGTTTTTGGTAGAAAGAAAAAAGGTATTGAAGTACTAGGAGTATTAAGTACACCATACATAATTCTCAGTTAATCCTCCTAACAATGCTATGAGGTAGATATGGTTTTATTTAATTTATTGCTGGAAGCACTGAGGGACAGAGGTTAGAAAACTTATTCAAGCTGGGTGTGGTGGCACGTGCCTCTAGTCCCAGCTACTTGGCAGGCTGAGGTAGGAGGATCACTTGAGCCCAGGAATTTGAGGCTAGCCTGGGCAATATAGCTTGACCTCACTTTGGGGGGGTGGGGAAGAAAGAAAACTTACCCAAGGTCTGGAACCAGGAAGTAGCAGAGCTGAGAGTCAAATCAAATGTGACTTATATAACAATTATTTTCCCTGAGGTGCTCAGAGTTTTTCAGATCACTAAACCTAAACTTTTCAAATCACCAAAGTTAAATCTTTGTTATATCTGCAGACAGGTAGATTCCTCATTAGGAATAAAATTCAGGTAGAACAAGAAAGTGGTCAGACCCAAGTTCTCTATTGAGATGACTACATCATTCAATTAAATCAACTAGACGATGGGTCTCCTGCCTCCTTAGCTCAGTGCTGTCTGTGGAATTGTGGTTATTTAGTTTTTCCCCTGGTAGGTCTCACTCTTGGAGACTACCTATCAATGTGGTTATCATAGTATTTGGCTTTTGTTTTCTTTTTTGAGACAGAATCTCACTCTGTTGCCCTGGCTAGAGTGCCCTGGCATCAGCCTAGCTCACAGCACCTCAAACTCCTGGGCTCAAGTGATCTTTCTAATAGCTGGGACTACAAGCATGCACCACCATGCCCGGCTAATTTTTTCCATTTTTGGTAGAGATGGGGTCTCGCTCTTGGTCAGGCTGGTCCTGAACTTGTGAGCTCAAATGATCCTCCCGCCGTGGCCTCCCAGAGTGCTAGGATTACAGGCGTGAGCCATTGCACCTGGTCAAGTCTTTGGCTTTTCTTTTGCCTATAGTTATCTATATTACAGCCATGTTACCACTAACCTATTTCCTATTAAATGTTAACACCTAGGCAATCTGGAAGATTCTAGAGATGATGGGATAAGTATATACCTTGAAGTATATACCTTGAACAGCTGTTGAACATTTTAAATGAAGAGGCATTTTTAGGTTACTGCTCCTTTTATGTAGTACAATTATCACCTTAATTAAACCAATTCTGATTTAAACAGGCCAAAAATATTATCCCTATCTTATAGACAAGGAAATTGAAGTCTACAGAAGTTAGATGACCTGTCTCCAGGCACACAGCTCTTCCTGGACTAAAACTTTGGTATTCTGGCCGGGTGCGGTGGCTTATGCCTTTAACCCTAGCACTCTGGGAGGCTGAGGTGGGAGGACTGCTTGAGGTCAGGAGTTCGAAACCAGCCTGAGCAATAGTAAGACCCCATCTCTACTGTAAGTAGAAAGAAATTAATTGGCCAACTAAAATATATATATAGAAAAAATTAGCCAGGCATGGTGGCGCATGCCTGTAGTCCCAGCTACTCAGGAAGCGGAGGCAGTAGGATTGCTTGAGCCCAGGAGTTTGAGGTTGCTGTGAGCTAGGCTGATGCCATGGCATTCTATCCCGGGCAACAGAGTAAGACTCTGTCTCAAAAAAAAAAAAAAAATTGAATGCCTTGCTAATGTATGTAAGGCAACATGCAAATAAACCTCTGTTTTATTCAGTGGTCTAAATGAGTTCTTTAATTGGGGTGCCCTGTTACTTTATGTCTTTAACAGCCTTTTACCCCAGTTTTTTAGAAGTATCAATTACAAGCTTTCTAAAAAATTGTAATGCTTTGTAATTTTTATCCTTAAAAAGTTAATATAACTGATTCTTTGGAAGTTAGACTTAGATCTCTCAGGTCTCTATTAAGTGATATTAGCAAAATTTTTTTGACTTGTTCCAAATTGACCACATCATTTAACTGGATTTCACTCAAAAACCAAATATTTAAGGTAATTTTCTGCACCAAGGCTATTGGATCAAATTACATGGCTTCAGGGGCAGCAAATGACATCTGTCACACTGCTGAGATAGCCAGCCTTGAATCTTTAGAGCTTTATATTTATCCCTCACTCAAGGTTAATCTTTGGGAACTACAACTCCAGACTCTTATGTCACCCAAACCCAGCCTCAGTCTATGCCCTAACTTTGCACTGAGAACAGAGTGTAAACTGTGTTGGCTGAGGACATTTGTTATTGGTGATGTTTGCCAAGCAGAGGGTCTTGAAAATTGTATCTATTCTTTGCAGCCTGGCAATCGGTACCATTAGTGGCCATGCCCGACACTGCCCAGACCTTTGTGTCATCTGGGTTGATGCCCATGCAGATATCAATACACCCCTTACTACTTCATCAGGAAATCTCCATGGACAGCCAGTTTCATTTCTCCTCAGAGAACTACAGGACAAGGTCAGTGGTCTGAAATGAAAGCGGATGGCTTATAGGGTTATCCCAGGGCTTTGAAAGTTAAGTAAGATTTCAGTGAAAAATGGGTTAAGTGTGGCCTTAATTTGTTCATCAAACACTATTATGGGCCAGGCAGTCTGTTAGATACTATAAAGGCATATAAAGATGACCAGGACATGGTCCCTGCTCTTGGTTAAAGGCTTGCAGGCCACACACCACACTCTGACACATTGGTCTAGAAGACAAGTAAAACCATGATTACCCCTGGGTAGTATTTTCCTGAGCTGTTCTGAGGACACAAAAGTCCATATTAGGCATAGACTAGAATCTGTATATCCCTCCCCTCAGGAACCAAGTTAAACCAGGACAGCACAAAGATTATTCATTAGGCAGAATTCATGTTTTGCTGTTGGCAACTTGAGGTGGCAACTGGGTTATGCTTGAAGCACCAACTGTAAACAATTCAGTGATGTGTGAAGGGATGGAAAAAGGCTAATCAGTGGCATTCCTGCTACTAGGTGTGTTAATGAGAAACCAAGCAGCCTTAGAAGAAGAGTTTGTTCTTGAGAAAGCTGTACTGTGTTCTTCAGCTGCCCTTCTGAAACATTTCCACTTGTATGAGGGCTCTTTTCCAGATCAAGTGTGTCTTGTATTGCTTTAAACATATCCTGTGGGGTAGCAGAAGAAAGCAGACTCTATACCTTGGGAGCAGACTCTATACCTTGGATTATCTTGGTGAGACCAAGAATTCTTGATTAATCCTGTCTATTCCTCTTCATAGGTACCACAACTCCCAGGATTTTCCTGGATCAAACCTTGTATCTCTTCCCCAAGTATTGTGTATATTGGTCTAAGAGATGTGGACCCTCCTGAGCAGTAAGTTGATGATATATTAGGGTTAAATTTTGGATCTGCCTTGGCCAATTATGTTCCATCTGAAAGGTTGATGCTTGACTTAAACTGTTGTAGGTCATTTAAATGCAAAACTCTCCTAAATAGACATTTGTTAAAAATGATTTTTAAACTAAGGACTCCTTCCTTTATATCTCACCACAGTTTTATTTTAAAGAACTATGATATCCAATATTTTTCCATGAGAGACATTGATCGACTTGGTATCCAGAAGGTCATGGAACAGACATTTGATCTGCTGATTGGCAAGTAAGTAATGACAATGGATGTCTATTTCCAGGTCCCATAGGGAATAGGGCAAACTCCCATAGGGCAGCATACTTTAGCCTCTTTTTAAAATTTTTCTTTTCACCTTTCCTTCCTGCTAGCACCATGATCTTAGAGTTTTGCCTGTCTCTTGAGGATAGTAGCTTTACTTTTAAAACAAAAGCAAAACATATAAAAATTTCAAATAGTTCAGAAAGACATAATATGAAACATAGAACATATTCTTCCTCTGGGGTTAGGAGGGGGTTTCCTTTAAGTCATCGCCCAGATCTGTCTCTCATGAATTTCTCTTCAGCTCCATTTGACAGGCTTGTCTTTTGAGATGAGAAGCATTCATTGTTCCAAATGTCCCATTCTTCCCTGCCTCACTATTGCTTCACCTGAGTTTTATATCAAGCAAATCTTGGTAGTGTAGAAAGATGGCAGATGAATGCCAATCAAATGTTAGCTTTAAGAGCATTTTCCCAATACCAAGTCTTTACAGTGAGTAATGACAGAATTACTACCTAGTAGTATGTCATTTTTAAGCTGTTAAGAAATTTAGTTATCTGACATAAGGTATTGTATGTTAGTTTCAGCCATTGGACACCTGGGCTAAACTGAAGTTAGAATTGGAAGATGTTAAGATTGCAGACATAGATGTCAATGTGAATGGATAAAAATAAATAAATCACTAAAAATAAAAAAGATTGCAGACATAAAATCATAGTTAAGTCAGCTGCTATTATATTCAGAGAGTAACAGCAACTGTAACCCAGATCAAGCCAACATAAATTAGAATGTATCAGAGCTCAATCTCATATGGAAGTGAAGAATTCCCTCTATTGACAGTTATTCATGCAAGAGGTTTTAACGCCCAGGATAAACCAGAATTATAAATTGGAGTTAGCCTGTTTGAGGCATGCAGAACAAATAACAATATCATGAAGGTGGTATGTAGGAAGTTAATATACTAATCTCAGTAACTTCCTGAAATAGAAAACCTAGAAATATTATTAACAGCTTTATTAACAGTTACCAGGACCAACAGCAATAAAAATCAAGGAGTTGCAAACCACAGGAAGGTTGAGCACAACCAAATAAGTATTCTCTTATCCTCTTCCTTTCCAGAAGACAAAGGCCAATCCATCTGAGTTTTGATATTGATGCATTTGACCCTACACTGGCTCCAGCCACGGGAACCCCTGTTGTAGGGGGACTGACCTATCGGGAAGGCATGTATATTACTGAGGAAATACACAATACAGGTATGTAGCAACCAGGCATGCAGCCAGTTAACTATTGTGTAAACATGCTGAAGTCTCTTGCCTACAGGAGGTTGTTTCTACTATTCCATGTCCTTGTAGACTTTTTCCTTCAACTTTTATAGCTAATAATCATATGGTTAGGCTAATAAAGGGATATAATCATTTAGAGGCATATTTGGACCTAGCTCTTAACAATCCATGGTAAGGTAATATTGAATACAAAATTGTGTCTACTTAGACATTTATTAAATATAAGAATAAACTGCCACACTGATGCAGTTCCCTGTGTCTGAGTTATATAAAGGTAGATTAAGATAAGAAGACAAGGCCAAGTAGCTATAATTTTTACTTTAATGTTAAGAGGTTGGCTGGGCAGTGGGTCGTGCCTGTAATCCCAGCACTTTGGGAGATCAAGGCAGGAGGATCACTTCAGGCCAGAAATTTAAGACCAGTCTGGATAATGTGGTGAGATGCCATCTCTATAAAATATTTCAAAAATTAGACGGGCATGGTGGCATGCACCTGTAGTTATAGCTACTTGGGAGGCTGAGGAAAGGAGGATCACTTGAGCCCAGGAGTTCAAGGCTGCAGTGAGCTGACTATGCTACTGCATTCAAGCTTGGGCAACAGAGTGAGACTCTGTATCTGAATGAATGAACAGATAGAGGCTGCTTCACTGGGAGTTGGGAATTTGGAGTTAAAGCTGTTCTCTTGAAGATATCGGCAAGTTGGACAATATCTTGGTTCCTTTTTTGTAGGGTAAGTCTTATACTAGAGCTTGTTTGATAGAATCTTTAATAAGGGGATAGAGTTAGATGAATGGCTGACAGAAATAGTAAGACGAATTCTGAGTTATCAAGAGTGGCTACAGGGGTTCTCATACTTATTTGCAAACAGTTTCCATTTCTGTCAGAAAGCTTCAGATTTTAGAGCTATTTTAAATAACCTTTCATTCCAAAATTTAAAGAACTACCACATGATACTGCTTCAGTAACCATCTCATGAAACTGGGGTATAGACAGAAGCATAGAGATCTCATATCCAAAGGTCCAGGGTAACAGGAAACTCTTGACTAGCTGGGACAGAAATTGCACTGAGAAACAGTCTCACTGGCTCTGGAGCCTGCTAGAACTTTAGGCAATACAGAAAGGAAAATGGTACTTGTCTATAATATATGACACTGGCAAGTCTCATTCTCAGATCAATTAGATGTTGCCAGTGGTCCTCGGATTAGTGGCCAGAGAACATGGAGTTCAGTCCTCTACTTTGCTTCCCAATGATACCACTAAGAGCAGGGGTTTAATAATCTCTAGCAGTTAGATGTGGCAGTGGTCATGCCTTATCCCTCCTTTCCCCTGCTGCAGTATGATTTTTTTTTTTTTTCTGAGACAGAGTCTCACTTTGTTGCCCGGGCTAGGGTGAGTGTCGTCGTGTCAGCCTAGCTCACAGCAACCTCAAACTCCTGGGCTCAAGCAATCCTACTGCCTCAGCCTCCCAAGTGGCTGGACTACAGGCCATGTGCCACCATGCCTCGCTAATTTTTTCTATGTATTTTAGTTGGCCAATTAATTTCTTTCTATTTATAGTAGAGACGGGGTCTTGCTCTTGCTCGGGTTGGTTTCGAACTCCTGACCTTGAGCAATCTGCCCGCCTTGGTCTCCCAGAGTGCTAGGATTACAGGTGTGAGCCACCGCGCCCGGCCTGCAGTATGATTTTATTCCTAAAGATTGTCATGACACTATCAACCAGATACATAAAGCAATTTGCTTAAACTAATTTACAGAGTGGCAATAGTTCTGGAAACATAGGTAATATATGTATGTTTTTAATAGTGCAAACCCTCTTGATTACTACTAGAGTATGCTAAAGTACATGTTTAGTTAGTAGAAATCAGAAGTTTAGTCAGGGACCCAGGTCTATGTGCAGGAAATGATGGAAATGCTACAGTAAAATGCCTGTTCATTAGAGTTTTGCAGTGCACTTGACTATGCATTGCTAACAAGGGAAGACATGCTGACCAGGTGTGACGGCATCGAGCATTTCATGTATTAGAAGATAATATCAATAAACCATTAGATATATTCACCTATGTTTCCAGACTTTAGAGCTACTCTAAATATTCTCAGATACTTATATTCTTGAATGCTAGTTTGTTCAGATGATTCTTCACCTAGAATAACCAACTAAAAAGTTAAATTCTCTAGAAGTGAGGCATGTAGGGGGGGTAGGGGAGTGGAAGGCAGGTGTGAATAGGCTCTCTGGTTTAATCTTCCCTGCCCCTCAGCCTGCTCCAGGCCAAAGAATAGTGCTGAGAACTTTGGAACAAGTTATCAAACTCTCAAGGAAGGTAACTGGAGTCCAAATTAATCAACATATGGCTGAATCTTCCCTTGATCAAGTATAAGATACTAGGTCAGTCTGCTCTAAGATAAATAAATGTGTCAGATGTGGTACCTGCCCTCAGAGCTCAAGCTTGAAGGGGTGAGAATAAGGTTTGCAGTAATAACTAAGTTTCAGGGCAAATGATGTGGTGCTTTAACAGATACAGCATTAGAGTTCAAAAGTGGGAGTGGAGTTCTGGATAGTAAGAAGTAGGAGATTTTCTTTGTCTTAATATTTCCCTATTTCTAGGCAGGCATCTGGAAGGTTCCTAGTCATACTGGGGATGGCACACATGAAGCAAGTTGGAAACCTCTGCATCCCTCACCAAGCCCCTTCCTTTTCCAGAAAGCCTGATAGCTATGCCTATTATGTTAGTTGAACAAGGATGATTTTTAAAGACTTCTTTCAAGCCTACTCTAGTATACTAGTATTTTAACTTAGCCAAGAGGATGAGGTGCAATGGGCTTCCTGACAAGATAGTTTTATAGTAGAAAATGACTCTTGTTTTTACCTTGGCTTTTTCTCCCTGTCCAGGTGGGATGAACCTCACTGAGAGTAACAGCTAGGGAATTTTCTGAGATTTTGTAATTGTTCTTCCAGGGTTGTTGTCAGCACTGGATCTTGTTGAAGTCAATCCTCAGCTAGCCACTTCAGAGGAAGAGGCGAAGGCTACGGCTAGCCTGGCAGTGGATGTGATTGCTTCAAGTTTTGGTCAGACAAGGGAAGGAGGACACATTGTCTATGACCAACTTCCTACTCCCAGTTCACCAGATGAATCAGAAAATGAAGCATGTGTGAGAATTTAGGAAATACTGTGCATTGACATGTTTAACAGTGGGCATTCCAGAGTTGCGGGGCATTTGAGGAAACAGATAATAAGTGGTTTCCTAGGTCAATATTGCCTTAATGAGAACATCTGCACATTTTCACAATTGTAAAGTTTCCCCTCTCTATTTTGGTGACCAATAATACTACTGTAAATGTATTTGGGTTTTGGCAGTTCAGGGGTATTAATATGTTGTAATACTATGTAAATTTAAAGTCATAAACAGCATTTATTACCTTGGTATATCATACTGGTCTTGTTGCTGTTCCTTCACATTTAAGTGGCTTTCCATCCTTCCTCCCTCCTCCCACAGTCTGGCTGCACAGTGCATCCTTGAACTGTTAGCCTACAGCAGCAACACACTTCATTCACAGGGTCAAAGTTCTGGTCCACAAAGCCCTCTCTATAAAAAGTTCAATGCTTGCGAAAGAATTTGTAGTAAACCAGGCCTCCCAGGATGGCTAGCTCCAGTAAGATGATGATGGAAAGCAGCAGCTTGTTGGTTGTCACTCTACAAAGAGAAGAAAAGTGGAGAGCAGTCAGAAGTGTGGATAACCTCCTTAATACCATGTGGTTTGACCTGGGACCAAAGCTAGATATCGTGAGGTAAAATGAGTTTTTTGTTTGATCACACAGCCACTTGGCAATAGGTAAGTAAACATAAGGTTCATCAGCTGTAGCTTAGAGATAACACTGTCTACCTCACAGAAATTGAAAATTGGGACAATAAATACCAAAGCATAAAAACAGTTTCTTGATTCTCAAACATTTTCAAATAGTAGTTACATTTTCTACAAGGAGGGGGTTAACCTAGAAAGAAAAAAAATATATATATATATATATGAAAAAGTATACCATTTCTAAAATCAAGGTGAATTGTATTTCACAGTAGCAGAAATACAATCTCATTTATCCAACCATATAGAGCCACAGCAGTTACATACTACAGCAGTGAGCCTATGTTGGGAGAAGGGTTTGGGGCAGACTCTCTAGTGTCAAAGTCCAGCTCATGGATGGTCCCGCTTTAAGATATGTAAGCCTGAGTAATGTTTTTCAATCCCTTGTAAACTTCTTCCCTTCTTACTCTCTCTCCTCTATTTCTTCCTCTGCTGTCCTATAAACTCAAATGGATATCTCTATTATAAAGTTAGTATAAGAGCATCAAAAAATTTATCTTTCATTTACACAAAGAATCCAACCTCTGGTTCTCATGTTTACTATAGATTCCTACCTGTTCCACAAGGAATTTGCCACTGTTTAGGAAAACTCCATCCCTCCTGCTAGTTCTATGACTAGGTTGTAGTTTTGTTTCATGCTTGGCCACCTGTGGCCAAGGTCATGCATACTGACCACTTACCCCTAACTTCAGAGTCTCACTCTGTTGCCTGGGCTAGAGTGCTGTGGCATCAGCCTAGCTCACAGCAACCTCAAACTCCTGGGCTCAAGTGATCCTTCTGCCACCTGAGTAGCTGGGACTACAGGGATGTGCCACCATGTCCAGCTAATTTTTTCTATATATTTTTAGTTGGACAATTTGTTTCTATTTTTAGTAGAGATGGGGTCTCGCTCTTGCTCAGGCTGGTTTTGAACTCCTGACTCTTGAGCTATCTTCTCGCCTCAGCCTCCCAGAGTGCTAGGATTACAGGCATGAGCCATTGCACACAGGCATTATGGTTTTTTGGGGGGGGGCGGGAGGTAAAGACTGCTTTATTGGTGGCAGTTAGCACAAGTCAATAAATATTGGCCAGGTGTGGTGGCTCACGCCTATAATCCTAGCTCTCTGGGAGGCCAAGGCGGGTGGATCATTTGAGCTCAGGAGTTCGAAACCAACCTCAGCAAGAGCGAGACCCCGTCTCTACTATAAATAGAAATTAATTGACCAACTAATATATATAGAAAAAAATTAGCCAGGCATGGTGGTGCATGCCTGTAGTCCCAGCTACTCGGGAGGCTGAGGCAGAAGGATTGCTTGAGCCCAGGAGATTGAGGTTGCTGTGAGCTAGGCTGATGCCATGGCACTCACTCTAGCCTGGGCAACAAAGCGAGACTCTGTCTCAAAAAAAAAAAATGATCCCCAAAAAGCTCAGTTATTTATCATAACTTATGTAGAGAGCTGAATGAAAGTGAACAAAGCGATTGCTGGGCTGATAGAAGTCAATCCTGCCTCTTGAGAAATGAAGCCATAACTAGCTGATATATGGCAAATGCTTGTGTACCAACTGTAAGAACCATGGTGGCTCTATAAAGGAGAACATCAGCTACCTTACCCTTTGGATGCACTGGAATTCCACTATTGCTCTGAACCAGCTTTTGTTTCTCTGGAATTTATTTTCAAAATGCCTGCATGAAGCAATGTGTATGGTCCTCTGGGAAATCTGACAGAACAGGCAGGTTCTGCTGCATCTGGGCTCAGTCATTGCCCAATAACAGTGACGACAACTCGAAGTTTTTTATAAAAGCCTATTTCTTACTAACAAGACAGAACTTCCCGAAAAATAAATGACTCCTATGAAAGGCAAGTAGAGCCAAAAGCAAATACTAAGCAGTAGCAGTGAAAACTGTTTTCTAATCAAGTTTTTACAAATATATTTCAAGGAATAAAACTCTATTATTGCTATGTGCTGTCTTCTCTAAGGAATGTAAGCTGGGATTAAATGTCCTTTTAGTGGAGAAATTTTCCACTGTTCCAAGTGAGAGCAGTATATACTTTTAACAAAGGTTTTATCCTTACATATTTAACTATACAAGCCCATATGCCTTTATTCTGATTGGCGAGGTGGTATTAAGTATAAGGGGACTGTATGGTATTAAGTGCTGAGGTCCTGTATTAGGACTTTTGTAAGTTACTGTTTTAAGAGTTAAGAGAAATTTTGTAAAACTTACTTTCTGGACATTGAACGGAGAATCTTTCGACTTTTGCTCAAGTTTTCACTCGTGTTTACCAGCTGAGAAGAGAAAATAGCAATTATTTCACCCGTCTTCCAAAAGTAAACACTACAATTTGAATATTCCTAAACTAAATTAAGGGGGTGTATGTTGAAAAACTCCAAGAAATCTAACCAATTTAAATGATGACTTCTGAGTATAAGCAGAAGAACCTGGAAAGGACAAGATACTTTAGCATATTAATCAAGTACGCTTAGGATTCACTGTATCCAAAGGTTGTTGTGGGGACAGACTTCTGAGACTGAGCTAATCTTTCACCTTGGCTACTCAAAACAGGAAGTCTTCAAATGTACCCAGCCAGTGAAGTGACTTTGAGCAATTTAAGATTTGAATTTCATCGGCCAAATTCCAAGAAAGCCTCTTGAGTTGTTTTATGGGTTGATGAGTTACTGCTTTTGAGATCTGGTTATCTTTTTTCTTCAAGAGACAAATACATTGAATTATAAAAGGATTTGACCCCCCCCTGGACTTTTCCCTTTCGATTAATAGCAGGAGGGTATAATAATCTAGATAGCTAGAGGGTATTTTACCTCCTGCAGATGGCGACCTGCCATCTGTTCCCATTCCCCAGTGGCCTTGATAAGTTGATCTCTCAGCTCATTGCTTGGCTTTTAAATTTAAACAATCTACCTAGTATGTTCAAAAATCAAAACACACACTATCTGCTAAGCAAGCTGCATTCTCTATAGCTTGCCTTGAATTTAGTATTTTGTTAATTTTCACTGAAGAGGGAAGGGTATCATTCTGATTTAACAATGGAGAACTGTAGCTATTAAGATGTATAAGAAAATCTCAAATCCCCACACTGAGCTAGTATTTTCCTGTCCAAATCTTGGCTATAGCATTTGTTTTTCATTTTGATTTGCCTCATGTTAAGAATATAGCATTCCATTGACAAATTGTATTATTTTTTAAATTCCTATGTATATTAATTCATTTATAGAAAGGAAGATGAGTTACTATTAAAATGAGTTATTTCTCAGAGCCTCTTAAAGTGATAGATTAGAGGTCCCCGATATAATGATCATTTGGCCTAAGTATTTGTTTTCTTCCCACAATGATCCTTACCTGGGGTAACAATAAAGGGTTATAGTCCAAGATTTAACTATAATTTATCAATCTATAAACTGAGTGGTATAAGAAATTAAAATCTAAGATTGGTAGCATTGAATCCTTAAGTGCCTTTTTATAAATTATTCTCTTGCCAAAGAATGAATACAGGAATAAGGATGAAGTGGCTGCAGTCTTACAAACACAGAAATCAGATTCCTTCAGTCTTTTTCTTCATTAAAACAAATTTCCAATGATGTCTAAATCTTAAGGGCAACATTATTTCTATGGGAAAACTCTCAGCTAAGCAAACTAAAAATTGAGAAAAGTGTAAGAACCTAAAGAAGGTTATTCCCTGGATTCAGAACTGCTGTAGCTTCTGGTCTCAGTATGGCATCCACTCTTGCCACTTTCCCCATCTGCCCAGACTTACTCTGCTCTTGGTACGTTCCAACTGGTCTCGTTGTTCCCCCAGCTCTTCTATGATTTCTGAGCCAATCTGGTCAGTCTCTGTGGCAATCCGATGAGAACGCTCAATACTTTGGGTGGCTCGGTTCAGACTTTCAGTGCCTTGCAGTAGCAATGCCCTTTGAGACTGTAGCCGATTCTGAGAGGAGTATGGAAGGGAAATGTTAGGCTTCTTCCCTAATCAACTGGCTGCCAACACATTCCTTATGACCTTCCTTGTGTAAGGGGATGTAGTGAGCAATAATTTCCATTACTTTTAAAATAGAACCAAAGATGCTAATGAGCTACAAGACCACAGACCAAAGCAAAACCTGGAATCAAATCAACAGGATCACAACACCTCCCATTCCACTGCTCTTTTACACTTCAGCAAGGCAAGAAGGATGGATTAAAAACACTGGAGCACTTTCCCTGTGTTTATGATGAATTTGAACTGGTCCATGTACCTCTTGGACCAGGAACTTTTGAGAAACAGCAGCTCAGATTTGGGAGATGCAAGAGCTGCCTGATGATGCATATAGCCTGTAACTTCAGTGCTGCAAGTAAACCAACTAAATTTTGCAGCCCTAGAAATGACTCACTGAAGATTCCCACTTGACTGGTACTGAGGATTGAGGAACTACGAATGAGTTACTTTCTCAGTATATAAATCATTTGTAAGTCTAAGACTCTACCACATTCTGGAAAACACTTGTGACTGTACTCTTGGTGAACCCCCAAAATAATTTCACCTCCGACCAATTACACCCAAAAGCAAAAACTTCACAGTTGCCACACTAGTGATTTACTCTTGGGGAAGGTAGTATCTGGGGCTGGAGTACGCTTCCCCAGCTGCCCTAATTTCCCAAGTGCCTTAATTTTCTAAATTCTCACCGAAATTTTACTCCACTTATAATCCTAAATACAGACAGCATGAGGACAAAAGTAGCCTTTGTCAGGCCAGAATTAACAACCACTGACAAATGGGGGCAGCTCTAAGTTCTTAGCTATTCAAAGCACATAACATACAATCAAAAGGGGCCCAGCTCATAGGCATATTACAGAGCAGGTGACTACTAGCAATAGGATGCTACCAAGAAGTGAAAGAAGTGAAAGAAGTGAAAGAGCAGCAGTAACAAGAAGCATTTTCACTTAATAAATGGAATACAGACCAGTGGATGAGGAAACCACTGACTGAGGTTCAAATAAACTCAGTTATGTTAGCTCAAAGGAAGAAGAAAGTTTTTTAAAAACAAAAGATGCAGATTTTCAACTGATTAGGCTAAAGAAAGCAGGAAAAGACAATACAATCACATAAATCAACCTTAGACAGATTTGGAACAATAATCCTACTGAAGGTGTTAAGTATATCTAAAGTATATTTTTATAATTTCCGAAACTAATAAACTCTAAAGCAAAATTACTTGAACTTATCCTCTCCTTTTTGGTAACAAATAATCAAAGTCACATTCACAACTCCCATTTAACAAGCTCCACCTGCCTGCCATTTTCCAGTCCACTTTTATGAGTCACCTTATATCTGGCTAGCTGACTTCTGGAATGATCTGTGTGTCCATTTGAAAAGTTTGCATCATTCTCAAAATATCTAGTTTTAACATAAACAATGTCAAGCCAGTATCATTCTGAATGTCTCTTTTTTTTTGAGACCAAGTTCACTCCTGTTGCCTTGGCTAGAGTCGGCCACGGCATAGCTACTCAACGCAACCTAAACTCCTGGCTCAAGCAATCCCTCCTGCCTCAGCCTCCCGAGTAGCTGGGACTACAGGCATGTGCCACCACGCCCAGCTAATTTTTTTCTATATATTTTTAGTTGGCCAATTAATTTCTATTTTTAGTAGAGATGGGGTCTCGTTCTTGCTCAGGCTGGTTTCGAACTCATGGCCTTGAGCGATCCGCTCACTTCAGCTTCCTAGAGTGCTAGGATTTCAGGCGTGAGCCACTGCGCCGGCCCTGAATGTCTCTTAAGACTATAATCAGGATGCATCGTGAAACAAGATTTGTTTAAAATTGTATTACTAGCCTTTCTATGTATGTTCAGTCTGTATCGGTGGAGCCCTTTCCATTTCTCTTCCACACTACTCGCCAAGCAATTTTTACTTTGTACTGTTATTTGTGGAATATAATCCAAATGCAGCCCATTAAATTTAATATTTGTGAAGTTTTATTTAATTCCTTTAACTTTCCAGCTTCTTTAGATGGTTTCAAAATATAGATTTTCAATTAGCCCAATTTTATAAATCTGAAGGCTAGAAAGGCAACGTGGCTCACCTGCCATTACAACAGAATAAAGTGTTAGCCCCTTCTTGAGAAACATCTTGCATTCTCAATTGTATTTCAGTTGTTGGGCCATCTTGACATTAAGGTAAAGGAAAGCTGGATTAATTTTGTAGCAATACTCTGATAAATTAAAAACCTAGATGAGTGTTTTAGGCATACTTGTGAAAGTGATTCTAAAATTTATATATGACAATAAAAGCTCAAGAAGAAATTAGATCAATAGGTCAGAATTCAGAAATAAGAATAGGTAACATATTTTTTATATATTAAGGACACAAAGAATGTGCATACAGTTTGGAAAGATCTGCATTAAATAGAGTGGGTACCCCAAGGGAGAAGGGGAATTGGATGCAGAAAAAAGGATAAGAGTGGAAAAAACAAGTCTATGATGCACTGATAACATGAACTATACTCCACAATATGGTTAATTCTGTACCACAAGCCGTTGAAGAAAATAAAACAGCTAAAGCTTACCATATGCTCATTCTCTACTGCGTATGTGCCATATTTCATGTCTCCTCGGCCCCCAGGTGTGGCTGTCAAAGGTGTGCTTCTCACCTCCCGATGGAGTTTGGCAAGGTCCTTCCGGTAGTTTCGAAGCTTAGACATCATGGGGTTACGGAAGGAGAGAGGTGCATAACGTAGTTCCTCCTCCATCTCTGCCAGCTGGGAAGGCAAAACGTAGTGAGTAGATGGCCTGGTTCTTCCCTCTCTCATCTGGGGATATGCCTAGTTTGGACTAATAAAACCACAGACCACCCCAAATAAGTATTCAACCATACAGTACACGAGGCAGCGATTATGTCTGGCATGTTTACCTCATTCTTGGTACCTGGAATAGTACCTAGAAAGCACAAAGCAGGCACTCCAAAAATATGTAATGAATGAATGAAAAAACTAACAGAGGCACTTTATAGTTTATTAAATGTTTCTATATACATTCTCTCATTTAATCCTCACAACAAATAAATATGGTAGGAAATACTTTCTCTACCTCATACATAAGACTGAAAGAAACCTACTGAAGATTACACAATTAGAGTCAGGATTCAAAATCTTCAAATTCTCAACTCTTTTTAATATTCCAAGTTTTCAGCCTGGTATTGTTCAAAATTGCTATCAAGAAGCGCTTTGAGCCTGGGCGCTGGTGGCTCACCCCTGTAATCCTAGCACTCTGGGAAGCCGAGGTGGGTGGATTGCTTGAGGTCAGGAGTTTGAAACCAGCCTGAGCAAGAGCCAGACCCTGTCTCTACTATAAATAGAAAGAAATTAATTGGCCAACTAATATGTACAGAAAAAATTAGTTGGGCATGGTGGTGCATCCCTGTAGTCCCAGCTACTCGAGAGGCTGAGGCAGAAGGATGGCTTGAGCCCAGGAGTTTGAGGTTGCTGTGAGGTAGGCTGACACCACAGCACTCACTCTAGCTTGGGCAACAAAGTGAGACCTTGTCTCAAAAAAAAAAAAAAAAAAGAAGCTCTTTGAAGTCTACTATAGTAAAAATGATAGGGGTCTGGCATCAAGGTTCTTCTCTTTTTTCTTCTCCTCTTTCTGAAAATCAGTTGTTTATCTCCATATCGGAGATAACCAGGGGCCCACAGAGAAGGTTGCTTTGCAGAATCAGATTTCCATTTTTTCTGGGATAAGTAAAATCTAACACCTAGACATGTTCACAAGAGGCCCTAATTATTTTCCACTGCCTGAGATGGCCAGAGTAGACTGCTATCTTTGCTACAGTTCAAAGAAAAAAAAAATCTGAGCACCAACAAGTAAATCAGCTGTAGCTAAGAGATTTTTAAAATGCTACTAAGATTTTAAATGAACAAGGAGACTGGCTACATAACAGGTATCATGGATATGCACAGCTGTGCATGTATTAATAAAATTTCTAGTACTTCCATTATGAAGGAGATAGCTACCAGTCTGATGGCCTAGTTGTTCTTTAAAATAGATGCGAACAGACAAAAGGATGCAGATAAGTTTCCTTGTCAGAACTTCATTGGGATAATTGGGAAGCTGACTTTCAACAGCAAGAAGGAAGTTCTCTGGCCTAAAAAAATTTTTCTTCTCAGTATGTTCTAGGACAAAATTTAGGGGCAACTATTTCCATGGAGGTACTACCAGGGATCTGGATTTTAGCCCCAATCTTAATGGATTTGCTGAAGCTACAGCATAGTGAGATGGAATTAGAAGGACTCTTGCTTCCAAGGGTTAGAGGGAAAAAAATGTTTTTAAAGAAAAGCCACAGGTTAAAAGGAAGCAATTATTAAACTGCTTAGCAACCTTGAACCAACTTCTGACAAGCTTTGGGTCCTGAATGGGAACACATCCTGTTCATGCATGTTCTGCCTGAGGTACCAAGTTCAGCTACTATGCTGTCTTGTAAGACAGAAAGGAACAAGGTTAGAATCACTTCTGAGCTAATTTTCTGTGGCAATAAATTTAATAAAGAACAATAACCTATCTTAATGAAAAGGTCTTAAAAAGAGATTTAAAAAGACCATTTGGGCTGGGCGCGGTAGCTCACCCTGTAATTCTAGCACTCTGGGAGGCCGAGGTTGGCGGATTACTCGAGGTCAGGAGTTCAAAACCAGCCTGAGCAAGAGCAAGACCCCGTCTCTACTATAAATAGAAAGAAATTAATTAGCCAATTAAAATATATAGAAAAAATTAGCCGGGCATGGTGGCACATGCCTATAGTCCCAGCTACTCAGGAGGCTGAGGCAGGAGGATCACTTGAGCCCAGGAGATTGAGGTTGCTGTGAGCTAGGCTGATGCCACGGCACTTACTGGGCAACAGAGTGAGACTCTGTCTAAAAAAAAAAAAAAAACCATTTGGGTAAAGATATGAGAATGCCCTTACTACTCACACTAGCTATATATGTGTGTGTGTGTGTGTGTGTAGTATGTATATAATAATATTATTATAATATATAATTATACTGTGTAGTATATACATATATATTATATATATATATACTACATACACACACCAACACACACATTACATATTATATATATTTTCTTTTTTTTGTGAGACAGAGTTACGCACTCTGTTCCCGAGGCTAGAGTCGTGTGATATCGATCATAGTTCACTGCAACCCTCCAAACTCCT